AAGTAAAAATTTACAGTTTCTAGATTAATTGCGTTTCAAGACCGAAAATCCTTGCGATTTCAAATATTTAGGAGGGGGGATATTTCAGATTATTAGAGTTGCGTTGTAAGACCGAAAAATCTTTCGGCGCGCAACAATTAAGAAGAGGGGACATTTAAAAATCAGATTATTTGGGGGGACTATATATAATTAGAACGTTATTTCTCACTTTGGATAAATATTGCGAAGAATATTACTACGTCGACCCGCCATCAGAGGTCTATCGATATTCGCAAATTCTCGCAAGTGCTGAGACACGCGTATATCTCTTTATATAGAATCTCGATTTAATAACTTACACCGGCGTCTAAGGTAGGCTTCCACTACAATACCTTACTGATGAGTCCAGTAGTGGAAGCCGGGACGAAACGCCAAACATTACGTGATATTCTTCGCAATATAGAATATTAGAATATATTATCAGATTTAGATTGACTCTTATTCGCCATTCTCAACGTATTAATTATTGTTTATAAAAAGAGTCCTTTATTTCTTCAATTATTTATTTCTTTTTATTAAATTTCAAATATGCATAAAAGTCGTAAGATTGTCCTTGCACAGAAATCCAATTTATATCTACTGGTTTGAAGTCGAAAGATTAGGATCAACGTCATCATAATTCCATACGAATTGTTGAACATTCAACTACAATATGTGACCTTTTGCTGATGTTCGTCCTTGACTATCTAATTTAACTTGCGTTACATGTCGATATCTATATATGATATTACAATGCTAATGACAGGTGAGCTGAAGCGTACCGCTAAAGATAACATCGTTTACTATGTGTCTGCCGTAAATATGAAGTACGCTTGGTATCGCTTCACACGATATGCAAGTTATTTTTCTGATGGAACTGTCGAATGGAGCGACTGCAATAATGACAATTTTATAGCCGGCTTTATGTTCCTTGTATTCGAAGGAAATTTAAATTAAAAATTCATCAAAAATATGTATGACTCTTAGATTTTTCAGTCAGAATCGCCGTTATGATGTCGCACGAGAGAAGCCAGAGACCCAACGAAGTCGACAAATTCACTTGAACTGGATTCTTCTTCCATCCAGGAAGAAATCCCGAACGAAAAAGAGGAAAAAATAAAGCACAGGGAGGAAGAGGAGGAATGGGCCCTTGGGCCTTCGGCGTACCTCTCGTGTCAACTTTGGGTCTTCTCCTGAATGGTTACATTCTCCTTGTCGTTCTCGGTCTTGGTAAACAGGTGAACAATAAAGAAATATCTTTAATATCAATAATGCTCGTGAACTTTTTCTCTATTCTTTTCTGTTTTCATATCTCTTGTCATTGTATCTTTAACATTTTTCCGCGAATCAGGATGGTATTCAGTCAAATGTAACATGTCGTAAATAATTTTCAAGCTGACCGCGAATGCATGATTTATTTTAGCAATATATTGCACAATCCCTTGTGTTAGAAATACTATACAATTTGAAAGATATGCATGTAGACTGCTCTCTTAAATGTAAATTAGTTTAACTTTCCTGGCATTTTGGTAAAAAAAGTTAATGATATTAAATCCGTTAAAAGCATATCTGGACTGTAACTACGAATTGCAAAAAGAAGAAAAAGAAAAAAATAAACTCTTGGAAAAATTGCGCACGCATGGCTCGACGAAGCTTATTTATTCAGATGATTTATTTATCGAGATAAAGATGCAAATTATGATCTCTTTTTGCAACAAACAGCAGCGCGGATTTATACTTATATTTTTGCTTCCGTCCGCTTTCAAGTTTTCTCAAATACCATTGAATATTCTCATTGCGAGAGGGACAAAGGTAGAAAGAGGGAATGAAACTTTTAGATGATTCAGAATCTTTAGAATTTTAAGCGATAGAGCGAACAGGGTGCGCGTATAACACGTGAAAAAATTGCGGTTATCATATCGGTCTGCTGAAAGTTTAAATTACGAAGTCTCGTCGGGCATTATTGAAAATCGCGGAAAATCACGATAACGTGATAAAATTAGCATTTCAACGAGTCGATGCCCACAGACGCAGCAGCAGCAAACGGCAAACACTTTACTGTTGATCCATTTGGGCGCCGTGGAAACGGCGGTGTGCCTGATATTGCTGATCTTTGCAACCGGCTCGTGGCCGCTTACTGGTACGTGGTGCGTCCTGTACGGATTTCTACTGGCGTTGTTACATCCGGTCGCCCTTTGGACCGTCACCGGATTAAACTGCGACAGGTGAATCTTACATATTCTCTTTCTAATATCGTTATTCGATATCCGAATACGAAAACGTATTCAAGTGTGAATTGAAGACTGCTAGATGAATAAAGATCAGTATTAGAGAGTTTTCCGTTTTTTTTTTTAATTCGTTGCTCATTATAGATATATAGAAACGAACGACACGGTTAACTCTTCAATCGCGAAATACACACAAAGGGATATCTGTTAATCATTACGTTCAAATCAACCACGAGTAAAATCACATTTTATACCATATATGATTCGTATTTAAAATTTTCGCTTTGCACAATTCGAAAATAAATATTCCACTTATATCCGATAAAAATACATATATTTAATGTAACGATTCGATAAAATTATTCTCGTAATACCACTTACTGGTTAATTACTCGGAAAATTTTTTTACATTGTTCAAAGTACAGGCAACATGCACACTTTCAGTTATACTGAAATGCCGTTAAATAGAATTTCACACCGATAAAAGGAAGGACGTCATTGTCGCTTGAGTAAATCGACGTAGAATTTAAGAGAAGTTCCTCTCATGTGTGGAATTTTCCGATAAAAATCGAGTTCAATCTCGAAATATGACATATATCGAGTGATGAACGAGGCTTCGGTTTTACTTGATACAAAAGACACCGAGATATGCGATGTAGGATGTTAAATAAGGATTCTACGAGCTCAAATATCATCGTAGCTGTCAGCATACGAGACGTTCGTTCGCCTCGTCGTTCCATCTCTACTTGTTGCTCATCCTCTCACCGTAAACTTACATTAAAGCCATTCAATTTTTTTAAAATACGGCAAATCTATAATAAAATGCGTCAATTGGAATAATTTCATTTATTTGATGTAAATATTATACTATACTCGAATATACGTTATTTTGAGAGCTCGAAAATCTCATTAATTTCGTACTATTTCTCTTTTACACAATTCTCTGCATGTGAATTCCACTGCATCGCGTGGATCCTTTTCAGAAGATATGAAAGACGTACGCTCGGGAATACGAAAAACTTTTTTTCCAACTTATTCTCTGCAAAAAGCTCCAGACTCGACCGTGGCTCGATCGACCATGGAATATTTTATTCAGTATAGTTTAAACAGATTTACCACCTCGTTTTTTATTCTCTGGCTTTTCTTTGGATTTTCTCATCATGAAAAGCTTGCTTTATTGAAATATTTTATCAACTTTTCTCGAAAGCTTCATTTGTGTAGCGTTATGACATCGCGCACGTCTTAGGTGTATTACCGAGAATATTATTTAATTTGATTAAGTGACAAGCCAGGACTAATGAGTTCATTCGAAATCATTAAGACGCTCGATCGAGTGTGAAACGACCATCCCACGCTAGCATCTGAATTATATCTCGTTTTCATCCATCAGCCATGCCTCACAATTACTCTCTGCCTGCAGGTATTACGCGATCGCTGCACCGCTGCACTACGCCGCCTTGGTCTCTCCGCGTCGCGTGGTCGTCGGGCTAGCTGCCTCTTGGACAGGCGCTCTACTCCTGTGTTTGCCGCCGTTCTCGGGTCTGGTGCCACCTTATAGGTTTGTGTATATACGTGTTACACCATTAACCACAACACCAATGAACTGAAGCATTTCGCAACGTTTACTCTTGCGCGTTCTACAGCATTGCCTCGCAATTGCTGCATTTCCTCGCATATAATAAACAAAATTCGATTTACTTTGTGTTCTATCTCTTCGCCAAAGTAAATTATTTCGCATAGCATAAAGACTTTCACTGCGAGATAATTTCCGCGCCAGCTTCTCGCAACACGTGCCCGCGCAAGAATTTTCATTCAGAGTAAAGCTTTTCACGGCGGCGAATTAGTCAAGTTTAATAAAACTGATTGTAATATTAGGTCTACAACCTCTTGTTTTAACGCTCTTAATTCTCGGCCTTAAATTCAATCGATTATAGCACTTATTCAAATTTGATTCTTTTTCTCATCATACAGTAGTCATTTTGAAGCGTCACCTTAAGCTTTAAAATAAGGTATAATAGCTGTCGGGGTACTTCGAATCTAATCTCAAAAATTAGTAGTGAAAAATATGTCGTTCGAAAAGCAGCATTTCAGGCAGTTGCCTCCTTTTCGCGTTCCAGTTAAAGAAAATTGCCGTGGAAGCTGAAGAAATGATTTGCTCGGTGAAAACTCTGCGTCGTACAGTAAAAAGTGGTTCTAAAGATTTCGCGGTGGTAATTTCAATTTTTTTTCATCGTCATTCATCGACTTAAAACAGCAATTTTTTTCGGAAGCGAAATCCGACAGTTGCCTGGAAGATGACGAAAATGTGTAGAAAATGAAGGGGATTACTTTGATTAGGTTAACATTCGTTCTTTTATAATCTTACATCGAAACTTGGTAAAGAAGGCCGAGAATTAAATTGTAGACCCACAATATAAGTAATTTGTTCCAAAACAAACTCGTCTGTTTACTTTTAATTTACTTTCAATCACGCGCTCATTTCTAAGTCCACACTCTTTTTTCGGTATCCCGTATCGATCAGCTATAACAAAGAATTGGGTTGCTGCGTCCCGGATTTCGGGAACGGCACTTGGGGATCCGCCGCGGCGCTGTACGGCGCCGTTTATGCCATCCTGGGCCTGGGACTGCCAGCCGTCCTCGTGACAGTTTGCAATTTACGCGTGTTGGGTATAGCGCGGTACCATCGACATCGTATCGCTAGTGCGATCTACGAGGTCACCCTAAGCGCCCAGGTGACCATCACCCATCAGCGAAATCCATTTTTCGTGCCAACCGTCACCGCACCCTCCGCCGGCGGACCGCCGCGTTTTCACAGCGCTGCTAGCACGGTTTGTATAGACGGTTTTATTATAAATTCTTTAAATTAAAAAATTTTTGAAAGAATTTAAAATATGCATCATTAGAGATATAATAAATATAAAAAAATATTCTACTGGCGTATTAAAATGTCTTCACAATATTATATACTTGTTGTAGGTACTGTGACTTTGCGCTTAAAATCAAGTCTTCTTTAATAAGAATGTCTAATCAATTTAGCTTTTGTTAAGTCACTTGATTTAAGCTAATCAAGCTAATGAAAAGCACCCGTAGGTAAAGACTAATTTGTAATTTAATTTTCTACCCTGGAGTTAGCAAGTCAAATCGATAGACGCCACGCTGGGAGGCATCGGCGAAGTACATACCAAAACTTTCTCGCTTGCAGCGTCTCGTTATTATGAACCACCGCCGTTTAATTTCTATTCAAGTACTAAAAATAATTAGTTTGATATGTTAGTGAATCAATATACGGTTTTATTGTTATAAAGATAAACAGCTTCGTACTGTGTTCAAACGGTGTTGCCAAATTTTGTCTCAGTTTCGCAAACGATAATTTTCCAGGTGATGCAACTGGTCGGTTCTTTGTACCTGCTCTATTTTCCGTATTGCGGATTTATCCTCTGGGAAGCTTGCGGCGCCGGTAATCAGCACCGTCTTCACGCACATCCTAAGCTGGCCTCTTTAGCGTCGCTCCTCCTCGCGTGCTCACCACCCATCAACGGCCTTCTTTACGGTCTGAAATCGCAGACCCTGCGACGGTCTGTGCAGAATTACTGGCGGAAAAAGGCAACTAAGTCAGAATTACAGCAGGTAATTTGAAACGCGAGAAAAATGAATGCTCGTGAGAGGTGCTTGTGCGCGCGTCGAGCGAAGCGAAGGACAGTAGTAATTTACAGTTTACGGTTATTAGCTCTTATGTCCTATTACGTTCGTACACACGTGTATACGTATATAACAACATGAGAGCAATTGTAAATCTATTTTAGGAGATACAAGCGAGAACACCGAGCGTTGCGGGATCCAGGAGACCTTCCGGTAGTGGAAACACTTCCTTCTTCCCATTCCCTCCTCTACAGCGAAGACTCAGCGAAGCATTATTGGCTCTCGGCTCGTGCAGAACCGGGGGTAGTTTTGAAAGCAATAATCTGGGGTTCCAGCGCGGCAGATTACAACCCGCTGCCTCGTGTAATACTCTCAGAGTGCCGACCACTGAATCAGGTACGTGTGTTTCTTGCGGCTACACTACTACTTTACCAAGATAAAATCCAAATAGTTTTTAGCTCTTTTTAATTCGCAAACAAAAATCGGTGTTTGAGGTCCTTGCATTTGAACGCGAATATCTCTATATAAAAAAGAGAGAAACAAATCCAATTTTTTGACTTAAAAACCTTATGATGGATAAACGTTTCGACACTGATATGAGCGTCATCCTTTCATCATGGCGCACTAAGGTGAACCGAGCAAATTGGTGAGGGCGAGCGCGAGTGCCGCCAGTCTGATGGGTCCCCATTATCGGAGCGACTTTATTGGGGCGGATTTGGGCGCGGAATCCATAGCTATGTGCGAGACCCCGAAGAGGAGCCCGAGGATCCTTATAACGCGCGCGTACAGCGAAGAGAGCCAAGACGGAGGCAGCCCCCTTCTGAGAAAATCCCTCAATTCCAATATTAATCCACCGCCGTGCGAAAGTACGTCACATGTCAACATTTGTAGTGTGTGCATCCATCGCATTTGCAATTCTGAGATAAAATCGCGGCTTTTAAAAGACTTATCATACGCGCCTCTAGTTCGCATTTCTCTGACGCAAATTCTCATTTTCTCTTCCAAAATCTAAAATCTCGCAGTTTGTCATAATATCCTCTTTATAAGCAAAAAGACATTAAGTAAGCTCAACGTGCATAGCATTGTAACGTCGCTCAACGTCTTCGCCATTGGTTTCATATAGAGATTTGCAAATGAATAGATCGTCGAAGTAACTGAGTTACTTCTAACTGGATTACTGTTTGACCTTATTTAAGAGATATCTCGTTTATTATCACACGTGCACAGAACGTCGATGGCGACACTGCAGCACCGGAAGCGAAAGCAGCACGGGAAGCAGCGAGTCGAGCGTATGGACCACCGGTGTGGCCCCAAAGTACGGCAAGAGTAGTGCAAAGAACACGGATGGTTGGTCCTCACGTACACGATACATACGCGGTGAAAATTTAGAAGAAGGCGCATTGTCAAGTACAATGAGACCGAATAATAACAGCGAGAGCAGTGATACTACGGATACGACTACAGCCACGACAACAACAACCACGCTGCTTAAATCTCTCGCTATAGTAAGTGATAAAATCAATTCAAAGCGATCAATATTGTTAATTTTGTACAATTTTTATTACTTATCTTAAATAATTATTTAACGATTATCGATCATAATATGGAAGATAATTATCCATAATTATCTTTTTATATTCTTCAATACATAATTCAAATTCTAACTTTAAACACAATTAATTGCTTGAATGCAGGAAACTGTCGAACAGAATGAAAGAGAGAAGAAAAGGATGAACGGTAATATGAAGAAGAGAGAGTTTAGCGAGAGTGAAAGCAGTTGGAGCAGTGTTGAAGAAATCGAAACCAAGGCAGAGAGAAACGATGAAGACGACAATCCTGCAGATAGGAAGGAGGAAGATTCACAGACAAGATCTTCACGACAAAAGTCGAAAATCAGTAATCGCGATTCCGAAGTTTCCGAGGAGACTGCACAACTGAGGCCACTTTTAACTCACTCCTCTTAAAAACCCTATCTCTTAAATCAGGGCTCGGCACTGCAACTTTCGGCCAACTTTGCCGCTTGGACTGCGCGCGAAGCGGTGAGAACAGCGAAAGCGAAGCCGATTCGAAAATCGATCGAAAGTTGCATCGCGTGCCGAGTCCTGTCTTAAATGTATATTTTCTTTTGAATATTTTGTCGTGTGTGTGTGTGTGTGTGTGTGTATGCGCGTGCGTAGATATGTGCGTGAACAAAACAAAATTTTCACTGCGTGTATTTAAGCGACATCGCGATACGCGTTTATTTTCTCAATTCACATGGAATCACACTTGACATGGAAATAATTACTTTGATAAATTGCGTATAACAAGTGTTATTCGTGTTTGCGACACGAAAACGAAAAGAAAATATTCGACATATAATTAATTTGAAATTCAACAAGGACTCTTAATATAAACAATAATCAATCACAGTATAAGGGCAAAGTGGGGGAGTCAATTTAAAATAAACCTGATAACAAATTTACTTATAAAATAAAACTACAAACATTATATCAAATTAGCAAATTTACAAAAATTAATTAACTTAAAATTAATTAAACTTAAATTACTAAAAATAGTGATTAATATGTACAGGATCTACGTGACCAGTTCCGACTCTCTAATCGAATCCTTTTCAGACTTCGAATCATCTTGTTAGTGGATAAATTTATTGTAGAAAAATAAGACATTGTTAATGAAAAATTGATAATTCGTATGTTAAGAAAATTTCTGTAAAAATTAATAATTTTATTGGTGAGTTATTGGTGAGTTCTTTTGAATCTTGTCTTTTATATATTATATTGTACAACTTGTTATATTAATTTTTACAGAAATTTTCTTAACATACGAATTATAAATTTTTCATTAACAATGTCTTATTTTTCTGAATGATTCGAAGTCTGAAGAGGAGACTCTCAATTAGAGAGTCGAAACTGGTCACGTATAGATCCTGTATATATTAATCACTATTTTTAGTAATTTAAGTTTAATTAGTTTTAAGTTAATTAATTTTTGTAAATTTGCTAATTTGATATAATGTTTATAGTTTTATTTTATAAGTAAATTTGTTATCAGGTTTGTTTCAAATTAACTCTTATTTTGCCATTATACTGTGATTGATTATTCGATATATAATATGTTTTGTAAATTGATCTCAATCATCTCTTACATGTCCTCTTTAACAATGTAAAAAGTTTGAAGAAAATTGTAGATATGATCTTTTCAGATCTTTATGCTCGACGTTGATATCGACATATCGTGAAATTATATTTTTGTACTTTCACTCTGCAACGTGAGACTATTCTTTACAATATAAACCGAAGAACTGATTAACGTCGACAAACTCAATTTTAAGAAATTTGTTCGCTCCTCCCGAAGAGAATTAATCAACGATTATTTCCGATCAAATACCGATGGAAGTTTATACCAGCGATGAATTAACGAAAACTCGTTATCTACAAAGTTGTCCAATTTATCTTTTATTTGTCGAAGCAAGTCATAGAACTCGTGAAAGAGCAAAGACAAACGGAAAAAAGTCAAACACCCGAGAAAGTTCTTTTGAAAGTGGTAAACGTTGTGGAATCAAAGACGCGAATATCGAAGCGTACTTAAATGTTATTGTTACTTGAATGTTATTTAAGAAAGAAAAAGATAAATCTCACGTTTGTGTCTTTTATAAATGTCAAGTTTCGCTCGGTAGTTACAATCGCATTTATCGTGACGTGAATTTCACGTTTCTTTTTGTGACTGATGTAAATGCTAGAATTATTAGTAATCTATAGATAAACCTATTCTCTAAAACTTTTGGAGTGAAATCTTGCTGTTAAAGATTAAAAATTAGAGCCACTCTTTTCAAGCTAGCTCAATTCTCTCTCTCTCTCTCCCTCCCCCCTCTCTCTATCTCTCGATTCTACTCCAACATATTTAGAGAATACAATTAGTTGCTAGTATATAAGTAGCCGTTGGAATTGATGCTCCAAAAAACTGCAGCTTAGAGCATATATGTGCAAAAATATATGAATATAGATAAATTCGACGTTCTCTCTGATGTTGAATGATGCGATTGTGGCAACCTTTACAGAAATATAATTTAATACTGACCGATTTAATATTAAAAATAACTTATCTTGAATATTAAAAGTGTTGAACAACAGCACTTTTAACATTTTTTAACATTTTTTAATATTTAAAATAAGTAATTATTAATCATTACCGTCCAGTATTAAATTTCTGTAAGGGAAGAATATTTATGTTTCAATTGAAAGATTGTTAAAAGCGTGCAAGAGTCGATCCGTATTCACGTATTTTCTTTACAAACTAGTCCCTCACATTCCAGTTTCGTATACATTTAATTTATACATGATTCCACCGATATATTAAGGATAATATTAATATAAACGTATATATTATTTATCACTTAAATTGTAATAAAGAATTAATAAATGCGACGTGAATATGGATCATATTCTTTATCGGTTAACGCAATTTATATGACATTGTTGCTGAATAAATATATATATATATATATATATATGTATATATATTATTACAGCAACACCTTATTATCGTACGCACAAGACTCGTTTCCACACGTATGCCATGACATTCATGCAATTTCGAATTTGCTAGAATCATCGTTTATCTATACGAGCGACCGAGCTGCTGATCTAAGTTTTTTTCGTCAGATAGAATCGTACGGCTCGAATAATTGCCGTTTATCAGTGTCAATAATAAAATTTCTGGAACTTTATCGGGTGTGAATGATATACGATGTTAACATTACAAAGAGTTGCGGCATAAACGATGTCTCAGTGTATAAAAAGTTAATGCAAATAAAAAGATAATTAAAAATTGTATCGTAATTTTACGAAATATCTCATATAGTCTCATCTATTGCAAAATTAAAAGGAATGATGTAATTCTGTTTCTCTTTCGATGCATATACCTATTCGTAACGGTGCAGTAAGCTAAGGCTCAAACCAGCTTTGGAATCTCGTTCGATGGAAGTAGCTTCATACACCCTCGTTGATCCTGTTTCCAAAACGTGTTTCGGTACGTCTTCTTATACTTTCGCTTCCGTTACTATGTCACAAGAGGGTCCGATATCACCGATAGAGTACGTGTGCGCGTAATAAGTGAACCACAAGATTTATCTTTCGGTTTCTCGCTTAGTAAAAATTTGTCTGCAAATTTTTTGCGCTTAGCGGATAACTCATGAAAAAATTTCAGTGTAAGCTAGCTTCTTAATTCGATTAGACTGAAGTATCGGTGGGAGTTTGGTGAAAACGCACTCGCACGCGGCCGAGCGAAAAGTGCGGCCATTCGTGTGTTTTGCATCAAAGTGTTATATATTCCATTCGAAAAAGAAATGACAGAGAAAAGTACTTTATCATATGCATTCGAATCGCAGGAGGAATGGAGGTACGATGTGTTGCATATCTATCGATAATTTTCAAATTTTCGCACAAAATCCATACACACATTGCACGATATCTTCGACGTGAAAAAAGGTGTCAGTGGGAGCTTCCCAACAAAAGCGACACTGTGTATAACACAGTGATCATTTCAGCTTTGTTTAACGTTGGCGAATATAACAAGGATACGTAATAATTCGCTGTGTGTCCTTTGCTTCCATTCTCATCATCCGAGACTTGATTCAAACCTTGATTCATAGGTCTTTATTTCCTAGCTACAGGCCTGTTGCGTTGATGCGGTCGTTGCGCAGGCTCGCATCGATTTTATTTGCTCAGCTGATACATCTGCTGTTACATTTCGCAGTTCTGCTCCGCTTTTCGGCACGTTTTTCTGACATTCAAGTTTATCCATTTATTACCATTGCAGGGTGCAATTATCATTATCGTTGCCATTCGGTACCTGTGTCGGTGATATCCAACAATTGTATTTCTTGTAGGAGAACTTTTTTATGCATGCGTTCTTCAACTTGTGTCGAGGACTAAACTTATTATCTTTGTAGTTGCGAAAAGGTGCTCTGAATCGTACAAGATGTAGTCAATGATATCAGTGTGGAACTTTTCGACACACGCCTGTCGAGAAGGACACGAAGAAATACGGTAGATGGTGAAAAACGAACGGCATGTCTTCCAAGTGAGTGAATCGATTTTGAATCATAATCATTCGTAGAATACGGGCACAACTCCATTTATCGTATTAAAATAAATGGAGCTTTTCGCAGAGAAAAACCATGAGAACTTCCTCACCCTCCTCCAGCACGAGTTCCGTGTACACCAGTGCCGACGATGCACGTCGGTGCACCCGCTACGAGAAGAGCCAGTTTCTCGACTTGGAGGATGTCGGAACTACATGGCTCCTCGGTTCGCATTCCTCGCATGATAAATCCAAACGAATACTCGAGAAATGTAAAATAGACAAGTGAGTGTCATCACACACATCATCAGCACAAAGTTGTTCTAAATATTTTTGTATTTTGTTTTCCAGTTGAGACAAGTTTTCTTTCTTAGAGATAACATATTAGATTTTAATTTTATACGAGAAATTATTTCAATTTCAATTAGAATGTAGAAAAGAGCTAAAGTATAGTTTTCGTTGATATCTCAAAATTCTTCTCTGCAATCACATCAGCAGCGGAAGAAACTTTAACCTTTATTCAATAACGTTTTTATCGTTATCTCGTAGCTACTGCATTTATCGGTGCTTATACATATCTATACAATCAAAATATCGAGACAGAATATGCATATTAAAACCAAAAATTCTTAATAAATTAATGATGTAATTGAATTACAGACTCTTATATGTTTCAAAACAATTACAAAAAATTAAGTAAAAACATAAAAGGCTATTAAGAGACAACGCTGTTAACAGTGCGCAAAATATATAATCTTAAAATCTAAAACATAGATATAATGTCGATATTATATCTATGTTTTAGATTTTAAGATTATATATTTTGCGCACTGTTAACAGCGTTGACTCTTAATAGCCTTTTATGTTTTTAATTAATTTTTTGTAATTGTTTTGAAAAAATTCTTATTTGCAACATTATGAAGTAGCTTTGATCCTTCACCAACGACACGTTAAAAATTGACACGATTGACAGGCAGTAAGAAGTCTTTTATATAAGGAAATTTCATTATATTAAAAAAAAATATCTTAGTTTTACGCACACATATATAGAAATATAATATTATTTCTATTATCTAAAATTGGATTCAAACCAAACAAACAAAATATACATACAAATAAACAATTATACTACTACTAATAATTTGCAAACGCTATTAATAATTACAAAAACTATTCGCATTTAATGAAGCAAATAATTTATTCGTGATTACTCAATAAATTGGCTTGATCAAGATTCAGCGTAAAATATGAATATTACTAGATACATAAATAGAAATAGTAGAAAACAACACTTGGTAAATTAAAATATTTATTAAAACTTTAATATCTTATAAAACTACCTGTTCTCTTTATCTCTTAGATACAGAAATAAAAATTAAATATAAAAATAAATATAATTCAAATTAAAAAATCCCCTATATTTCTTATCAAAAGTGATTTCACGCAAAGCTTGGAAATATCAGGAATTTTAATAATGATATAACACTGCATTGTGTTATTGTTCACTTGTCAATAAATTTAATTAATAAATAATAGTAATATTAAAATTATACCGATTGACGCATGTTTAAATAGTAATAAATAAAAAATATATAAATTAATTTGTAAACTATATATATATATATATATATATATATATACGTTAAATATAAAGTTAAAGTTTGCAACATTTTCTATCATATAATGAGATATAGTAATTTGATAGACTCGTGTAATAAGAATCAAAAGGATATGATAATAATGCCTTATCGAGTCATTGTACTTGGTGTTGGTGTGAAGTTGTAAATATGTTTATTGTGGTAAATGTACAAACATTTCGATCCTAATTCGGATCCTTATCAATGTAACAATTTAATTTCAATTTATTTTCCATCATATACTGCATCAGATAACGTATTAAATTTTAACATATTCATCATCGTTATAAAAAAATAACAAAAAATAGTGAATAATACAAATAATAGAAAGAAATAATAGATAAAATTTTATTCGATAGAATAAATAACTGGATGGAGAGTGTCTGTATTGGTATATAAAATAAAACATAAACTCAATCAACAATAAAAATCTTAAAAATCTTAAATTTTTTTAATATTGAAAATAATTGAAAACATGAAATGCAACGAACTATTTCATCAATCAAATAATACATTTATCATTTTTCTCTTACCTTGACGCTTTCTCAATGTAGCTACATAGAACTGTAATTTGCTTTATCGACAAATCTTTAGACCAATTCCATTTAATAACCAATTTATTGTAATTCCGAGGAAAAATACGTGTTCGTCAGATACGAGCTCTCGATATACTGCAGTCATTAATTAGATAGAACTGAAGAATTATTACTGTTATCGAAAATGAAACGTTCCATTAACGTCTGCTTGTAGTCACTCTCGTTGACTGACAGTCGGCAATCTGTAGAATATAGCTCTGATATTTATACTCATTTCATATTGCGTAGCAATGTATATACACTCCTATATCCAATAGAAAGATCCTTTTCCTAGAGAAATAATGTAGCTAAGAACTGAACTCTCTTATTGGACACAAGATGTTGTGCGCAGTGTGAATCCAGCATAATATCATGAGGAAATAATAAATCTTAGAATTTGTAGGCCGATTTTCATAGTCAGTTCTTATATTCAAGACTGACAATTCAAAATAAATTTAAGACTTAAATTATGTCTTGAAATAGGTCGTGAACCAATCAGAGAACCGCATTAGTGTCTTAAAACATTATATAAAATAGTTTTGAAATAAGAATCAACTATGAATGTCGGCGTATATTTATTTATACATATATTAAGAATGTAATATCTTGAATATTTTATATTAGAAAAAATGTTCCAAACGTATTGTTGTATACGTACATATTAATTACTGTTTGAATGATTAAAATATTAAAATCAAATCAATTAAAGAAGATTCTCGAAAGTTTCAAATAGCAAGAATATAACTGCTAATGAGAGCTATTCGCTGTTATTAGTGCGATCATATATAAGATATGTTAAAGAGTGAATATTATATATTACGTAAGTAGTTCCCCCTCATTGCGCACCGAACATTCGTCGGACTTAAAACGCAAATCTAATCAACTACCGTAGTAATATCACAATTTTTTATGCTTATAGCATCTAAAATTGGATCTTAATAATATGTTGAAAGACATATTAAATTCTAAAAATATAATATTAAAGTAATAATAAATGTAAATCTATGAAAAATAAGAATTGTGAAGAATATTACAAGTTGGTGTTAAAATATTAAAATTATTATTTTTACATGAAAATAGCTTCCTGTTAATATGTATATACATGTACATATATCTTCAAATGATTCATAAAATTTTAAATTATTACATAGATCTTCTTAAATACAATAAAATAATTTTTTTCAAACACTTTTTTATAATATTCTATAGAACTAATATATATATAATTTTAAAAATTAATAAGGAAATCGTGTAAGGAACTGATTTTAGTGAGCTTTGGATGTTGTATGTGAGCACGGAAAAATGTTAGATCTATTTTTTATGTATATAATCTCGAGGTTTAAAAGTGAAACATCACCTTGCAAAAAATTGGTTTTTTCTTTCAAAGCGAGTACATCAAAACTATAAGAGAAAGAAAGACTTTTCCGCAATGAAAATTGAATAGCTCCAAGAGTACTTTAGAACTATAATAAATAAATTTTTTTAAATAAATTTTTTTTAAATAAATAATATTAAAATTTTGTTAATTATATACTTCTAAAGTACTCTTGAAATTATTCAATTTTCATTCTGAAAAATGTTTACTATTTCTTATAGTTTCGACGATATTTGCTTTGAAAGAAAAAAAAAATCTATTTCTTTCGAAGAGGTGTTTTACCTTCTAAATCTCGAGACAAACACAAACAAAATGTATGCAACTATAATATTTTTTTATGCTCTATACAACATATTCAAAGCTCATTAAAATCGATAAAAGTCAAATCTGATTGTTCCCTTATAAGGATATAAATAAATCAATATACATATACATACTGAATTGTATGTGATGATCATTATTAACGGCACAAAAAAATTTTAAACTATTGATATTATGTATTGAAGCATATTATACATGTATAATAATTTTATATTATATCTATATGTAATATGTAAATCGTGGATATATCATTCAATTTTTATAGCATTAAAATTAGAAATTATGAGAATAAATTAACATAAATCTATATTAAATTGTATTTTAATAAATTATGTATGCTGATTATTATTTTATTGCTTGTAAATCATTAAAAAAGGTAATTAGACTAATACATACACATCACAGTGCTGTTGAATCAATTAATAAACTAAAAAAATTACTCATGAATAAATTAATATTTAATAAGATTGGAAAACACGATCGTTTATGTAAGTACATCATGTGAATTCAGGAAACGCCAATTCAAAGTCAAAGTTAGATGTTACATTATAGAGAATTATAATTACAGAATTATATATAATTGCGTCTTTACACTATCGGACTTTCAACACACATCTGATTGTGAAATAATAATCCCCTCAAATTTAATCTTAAAAAACTGTAATGAACTTATCGAGGGGGTAATCACTTAATGTAATCGTGGGACGGAGTCCCTGAAATCATTATAAAATTTATATAAAATTTCGATATATAATCCGACAATTACAGGAAATAATTGTGTAATATTAGATAAAATCGTTTATTTTACGAACTGACCGCATATATAGTGAGGAAAAATTATTTGTCATCAAATAAAATTATATAAAATTAAATGAAATCATGTAATCTGTGGGACAATATTTCAGATGGTGGTTACCCCCTCGGAACTTATTGCGAAAAATATTACTTCAACCGGGAGTCGAACCCTTTTGCATTCCAGTGGGAGTACCCTAAACCTTTAGATTACAGAGGCATTCCTTTGATAATTCCGAAATAAATTAATTTAAAGAATATGTATGTATATGTATTAGTTCAAAATTAATATTTATTTAATACTTATTAAACTACCAAAATACACAGTCTCTACACAATAACAGCACAATGTATATAGTAAAAAAGCAATATAAAAAAAGAGCAATGATAAAAAACTATTTTTAAGATTTAACAAATTAAAATCTGCGACAAAAAAATAATAATAAATTGATAAAAATCGTGATCACGAGCGACAATATCATGTTGTGTATAAAAGTGACCACTCTGATTTTGAGATACGTTTCGATACTTTAATGTTTTTATCAATGTTATTTAATTATTATTGCTCTTTTTCAGATCAGGATCTCGCGTACAACATGTGATTATAATCGGCGCCATCGTAGCTGCACTGATAATTGCCGTAATCATCGGCCTAAGTGCTTACGCACGTAACAGTGCATCTGATTCAAGAGATGATGAGTTTCTGGTACCGCCTGATCCAGAAAACTTCCAGCCACCGTCGTGGAGTAAATTAAGAACTTTCAAACGCGGTGCCGTTTGCGCGGACGGAGCGCCATGCGCTGTTATCGGCAAGTATGTGTGCCAAAGATGTAAATAGTTTGATTCGCAAGAAAAATCGATAAATTCGATAAATATAATGCCTAGTCGAGTCAATACACTTGGTGTTGGTGTGATGTAGAAAAGAGTTTATTGTAGATATATACATTTACGTTTCGATCCTAATTTGGATTTTTATCAAAATGAATGTCTAATCTATTACATGTCATTGTGCTACCTGGAACAATGAAATGAAATTAGATGAATGGAGAGAAACAAATTGATGTATTGAGTGTACATGTGCTGATGTGCTAATGTGATGATGTGTTTAACATCAATTTGTTTCTCTCCATCCAATTTCATTTCATTGTTCCAGGTAGCACAATGACATGTAATAGATTAGACATTCATTTTGATAAGGATCCAAATTAGGATCGAAACGTAAATGTACATATCTACAATAAACTCTTTTCTACATCACATCGCAAGTGTATTGACTCGACTAGGCATTATTACTCCTTTTTGATTTTTATCTCACGAGTCTATATAATCACCAATTTTATTATATTTGATAAATATACTTAATTTTCCTTTTCAGGTCAATTCTAGAACGGAACGGATCGGCGGTGGATGCTGCGCTAGCAGCGCTAATATGCAACGGACTCATAAACATGCAGAGTCTGGGTCTCGGTGGTGGTTTTTTGATGACTATTTATCAAAGATCCACGCGCCAAACCTTCGTTCTCAATGCAAGAGACCGCGCACCTTTGGCAGCGAATTTTACGATGTACACTGGCAAACCCGCAAATGCGTCTAGATTCGGTAAAGAGCTTGACAATTTCTCATTAAACAAACATTTCAATTATCTTCTTGTACGAAAAAATATTTAATACTGGCTGATTTTAATTGGCAGGTGCACTGGCAGTCGCCGTGCCCGGTGAACTCGCTGGTTACTGGGAAGCTCATCAACAATTCGGTAAATTACCATGGGCGGATTTATTCAAACCGAGCATCGACCTCTGTGAAAAGGGGTATGTTCTAACATTAGTACAGTATGACAGCCTTTTGTATAATAAGAAGAGCATTTACAATGATTCAACTTTGAGGTATGTATGAACTTATCAAATATGTAGATACAAACCATGAATAATGAATGATGAGATATTTATACGGCGTATACGAAATACTCTCTTTAATTTTTTAGAGAACTGTTTGTCGATTCTACAACTAACACGTTTCGTGAACCAGGATCAGTGATTAAACCCTATACGCTTTGTAAAACGCTACGGACTATCGCTGAGAAAAACGCGACCGAATTTTATAACGGTACGATTGGTCGACTTCTTGTCGACGATTTACAAGAACAAGGAGGAATTATAACGATGAAAGATCTTAACGAATACAGGTAATTACACTCAGAAATTTTTTTTCTTTGAGTACGAATAATTATTCGCCGCGTCACAAAGAGAACTCTTGAGTATATATTCTTCTTCTTACTTCTGTCCAGAGTTTCGTGGGATCAACCGATACAAACAAATATTTCAGGCGGGTTGGAACTCCTGACCACAGGATTACCTGGCAGCGGAGCTCTTCTCTCGTTTATTCTCAACGTTTTCGATGATTACGGATTCACACCAGCCAACATAGCTGACTTTAACGCGACAATTCTCACGTATCATAGAATGATAGAGACTTTCAAGTATGCATTCGCGTTAAGGACGAAGCTGGGTGATGGAACTTTCGTCGATATGACCGAAGTAAACATATCGAACGGTCCCTCTTTCTTTTGAATTTTATTGAATTTGTTATCAATTAATAATTACACTATTTTGATTCCTTTAAAGATAATCAGAAACCTGACATCGAAGAGCTTTGCACGCTCGATACGAAAGAAAATAGACGATACAAAAACGTGGCAGGATCCACAGCATTATGGCTCTTCTGTCTATGCTAATGTTGAAGACCATGGTACGGCGCATGTGTCCGTGCTGTCGCAGAATGGTGACGCGGTATCGGCTACCAGCACTATCAACTTTTAGTAAGTCTCAACCTAGGTCGGTATTCATAGTTAACTCTTATATTTGAGACTGTCTTAGATGTCATAAGCCAATCAAAAGGCTGTATTAGCATATTAAAACATTACTTAAGATAGTTTTAAAATAAGAACGAACTATAAATACCGTCTAAAAAATCGCATCGTTTATGGATCGTGAAAATCATGATTTTCATGATTTTGTAGTTTTGGAAGCGGAATAGTCAGTAGAAGAACTGGCATTTTGTTAAATAACGGCATGGACGACTTCAGCATTCCGTCGCAGATCAATTACTTCGGTGTACCTCCAAGTCCAAACAATTATATTGCGCCTAAAAAGCAGTCGTTGTCCTCAATGGTGCCATCCATTTTGGTCGATTGGAACGGTGACGTGAAGATGGTCATGGGCGCTGCCGGTGGTACAAAAATTACGACGGCAGTATCGCAAGTCAGTAACACCTTAAATATTTAACAGCTTGCGCAATTCGGATTTTTATATAACAACACAATTTGAATTTCTGTTGAAGGAATCCCGCACAAACTTTATAGAAATTGAATTTTAGTCGAATTGGCTGAAAATTTGATATGTTGTAAATCTTGTCGTTCTGATCAAAAGTCTCCACAAGCACGACCCTTTGTAATGAACTGTTTGACCTCTACGAGGCGTTTTTTAAAACAAATTAATATTATATCTTATTTTTAACCAGTATGGTACATTCCTATATCATTATTTGCACTTTCTATGTATATTTTTAAGTAAAACGTTATAAGAATAATATTGTTGTGATTGCTTCTCACAAAAAATTAAGATATCGAAATCGATAACTTGATTTTATAGAGATTTAAGTCAACGTTATTTTGTTTAATGTCTAGCGTACTGAAAAAACTCAAGTCACAAAATTACATAATGAAATCATGTAATTAAAACAGGTAATAGTACATTGTGTAACAGTGGGGGATAGTTGTTTATAACGCGCACCCGTGCAGACTTATAAACAAATATGCCCCCACTCGCTACACATAGAATTTTTCATTACAAGTGCTCGTCGTAATGTGTCTATACCGAAACGTTTTTGCGCAGAAAAATGGGGTTAGAGAAATAACTCAACGGCTTGAGGTATAGGGCACATTACGTGCACGCGTAATGAAAATTATAATACGTAACGGATTGTTGCAAATCAGTGCATGATTTTTTTTTAATCACATATTTGAAAAGTCACACAATGATATGTTCTTTCTTTTTATTCCTATTATTTAGTTCTTTAAAATTTGATAACTATAAAATCACAACAGATAATATTATTTCTAATATCATATGAATATTCGAATTACATGATTTTAAAAAATAAGGTAATGATTTGGAACAATCTATCATGTAATTTACTTGTTTTAATTACATGATTTCGTTATGTAACTTTGTGATTTTTTTCAGTAGGGTAGGGCGCGAAATTTTTGGCACGATTATAGCACAATGCGAGTAATGTTGACCACATTATAGAAATAATTGAACCTGCTATTTAAACACACACACGTTTTGTGCGAGGAATCACAATAATCAAGCACTCCGATTTAATTGAGAAACAATTAGGTTAATATTATCCTTATAACTTTCTACTTAAAAATATACATAGAAAATTTAAATAATGGCGTAGGAATGCATCGTATAGGAATGCCTCGTTGAAAATAAAATATTGTAATATTAGCCCGTTTTGAAAAATGGCGCCTTGTAGATATCAAACGGTTCATCACAAAGGGTCGTGCCTTTTTAAGAGGATGGAGAATCTTTTTAAAGTCACTAGATTTATAAACAATATTAAATTTTAAAGACCGTCAATGTAACAACATAACTAATACGAATACGAAGCCTATAACAGTCTAGCTGGATCTTAGTTGCTTATATATAATTTCGCGTGAATTTATATACTGATATATGTATAGTCTTTCTAAACTGCGCGCCGAACAATTGTCGGTCTTGAAACGCAACTCTAATAAACTACTGTACTATCACGAATTAAATTGATTAATAATTTAATAATTAATTGATGCTCTTTTTGGCATCTTATATCGATGTTAAATTACATTAAAATTTGAAAATAATAATTTTTCTTATTGCGAAAAATATTATCTCGGCCGGGAGTCGAACCCGGATTTATAAAGTACCACAATTGATTAAAAAAATGTTGCGTCAAAATGGCCAAAATGCACATAATACATGATTTGAAGTACATCAACGTACACATTAGGTCAATTTGGTGCACACGTTTGCCGAATAATATCTGAAAAATGCTCAAACTCATGCGGTGATCACACGTGTGACGTGTATTTTCGTGTTCTTGAACAATTCTCTCTGAACTGTACTTACATGTATCCTTCATGCACTTTTATGCACAAAACTTTTACAACAAATAAATCCGTATTAAAGAACACATAAATTAAGCATTCCTACATATTCTTTTAGTCATAAATAAATTACAATTCAACAACATTGATTTACATATTCTACGACTTCATTTTCACAAATAAAGTACGTATATACAAATGCATAATTTGAAATGGCTGCATTTTACGTCAAAATGGATGCGAGTTTGCGATAATCTAGTGACTTTAAACCTTCTTATTAGGATGATAAGATCTACATCATATCAAATTTTCAGCCAATTCGATCGAAATTCAATTTCTATAAGGTTTGTGCGAGGTTCTTTGAATTAGTATTACCAGAATCAATAGATAATTTTCATGAATAAAACCTGTATGTTTTTAGGTGACAGCAAAAATACTTTGGATGGGGCAAACGGTCAAACAGGCGGTAGACTCAGCGAGGATACATCACCAGCTATTTCCGCCTAAGCTGTCTTACGAGTACGGGATCCCTAAGCAAGTGATCGACGGTCTGAAACGTTTGGGACACGACACAGAACGCTACAAGTTTCGCAGCAGCGTAGCTTGTGTCGTACTGTATGAAAATTCCACAATTTTTGCGAACGCTGATTATCGTAAAGGCGGCGATGTGTACGGAATCAATTGATTCGCGTGCGTGAGTCATCTTCCAGTGATTCAATCATGACTTTGTAGCATAAACCTTCTGCGAAAGATAATAGATTTTGTTCAAACAATGCCGAACAACATCTCGTGATTATTAACACCGATGTATGATGATCAATCTTGTTACTGTTATTGGCGAGATTGTTCGTGTTGAAAGATCGACATGCCAGTATTACCGTTCAATATAAAACTTTTACACTTTCTCGCTTACTGGTCGCAACTTGTTCTTACATTGCTCTTCCTCCTTCTCACATTTATAATATAGCGAATTTATCTTCCCTTCAATTTTCATAATATTTATGTATATAAACTAGATAATATGCAGTAGAATACGAAAATTAAGGAATTTTTTTCACAGTTTAATACATGTTTGTACGATTCGAATTCTCAGCACAGTTGTACGCTCCATGGATGTGATACTTATTGAAAATCTCTAGCCTTGCTGCTATTTATAGGTATAAAACCTTGATGTCGGTATCACTGCGATTTATTTTCTCTTTTAAATTACTTCGGATCACGTTCTAAATGTTCTATTGTTTAATGTTATCTGCACAACCAAATCTCTGTGAAATTTTCTAATAAATTACTTTATTATAATTTTTTAAAAATAATCTTGTTAATCAATGAAATTGAATTTTAATAATAGACATAAGGTGATACACCATTTTAACAACAGCACTTTACTAGAAGGAAATTATTTTTCGTATTCTTGGTACGTCACTGTATGTCTCTCTTTCTAATCTCCTTGCTTCAGAATTTCCTACAACGCCAAAGCGACGCTTTGAAAGCATCGTGCAAATATAAGACATTGCATTAGTAATTCCCCTTCCACAGCTCAACAAAACCTGTTTCGTCCAAAGCCGTCCGGGAGGATTCTCTCAATTAGCCGAGAGCAGATCGGGGGGGGGGGCTGACTTAATGTCAGCCATCAGGATCAAATCGATTAACGGTACTACGTATCCAATTTTCTTTCGTCTGGTCGTCGCCAAATTCGTTCTTCGAATTCGATTGACGATTTTCTTCGCATGGCACTTTTATAAACGCTAAAAGTTAAAAAGAGAAAGACAGAAGAAGCCGCATGGTCGGACTTTGTCATCTGCTGAGTTGCGGAGATAGCACATTCTACAAGCTATAATTAAATGTCGCCTCATGTTAGCGAGAGGAATGCACGAAAACGAGCACGTATTTCGTGCTTATAGTTGAGATAATCCTTCGTTCGTATCAATGTTCGACCTTGAAAATAAAATACGCCGTGAAAGAAAGAAAGAGGAATTAATCTCCTTGAGTATAAACGATTACAGACGCAACATTTAATTATAAATTATAACATCAAAGCGACGTTGTATAAATATTTAAATATAAAACATCTGATGTTTATATCGTAAACATCGGTGATCTGCTTGAATAAATATTATGTATTTCGTTGCTGGAGCAGATTTCACAAATGTATCGCATTTTTTTCCCGCAAATGGCAAGTGTTGAATATAATATCACAGAGAAATGTTGTTTATCAGTTTTACAACCTTCATTATTCAACGTGTTGCCAACTTGTGATGAAACAGAATACAGCATATAAGTATGATGTCAAGGTGGTTCTAAAAGTTTAAAACGATTATAAAAAGTCATCTCATTTTGACGTCATTTTTATTTGTTATTCTGTTTAGATGATGTCAAGGAGAGAAATCTACATTATTGCTAAATAAAATTCATATGTAAAATAAAGGTATACGGAAAACTCGTGTCACGAACGTGTAGTCAAGAAACAAGGCGTGCGATTAAAAAGTACAGAATAATTTAATCTAGAAATTTCGATGATGCGTCTTTTACGCTTCAATAATTTCGCTTTGTACGTTGACATCGTACGACGTAGAAACAAGCTCGATTGATTGTGCGTGTGTTAATACGTGATATCAGCTTTCCTCAACGGCACCGCGTGACGATATCCATATCTGTTCGGTGAATGTAACAACAAAATATTTCTCGAGTTGTTTATGTCCCCGTTACGAGTGTCTCGCCACACCTCCGCAAGGTGGATTGCAAGTGACACATCTTGTTTGCAAACGATTAGAATACGATCTAACACGCGTTTTTCTTACTGATATAAGCATTAATTCTTATGTATATAATCCGTGTTTCTATTACTTTCATTCCATTCTTTTTTATTCTTCTCATTTTTACAAATTGTTCCGATTTGCAAGGAGCAATATCATAACTGCGCGATTTCTCAATGCTTTTTCAATACTTGACAAGATAAGAAATATATCGCTTTGAATAAAAGAGCTACCTTCAGAAATCAAACGCACTTGCGGCTAAAAGCAGCACTGTTATATGGCATCAGAGCGCTGGAAATACACGCTCTATAGAACTCACAGAAGGCAATGCACTTGGACGTTAGGTGAGCTTACGTGTTGGAATTTTCTAGGTCGCTTGGAACATATAGATTAGCTACGTGAGTAATAATTATTGAAAGCAACGGGAGTAAAGACCTCATGTACGAAAAGAACCATCCACACACACATTGTAACAAAATTTTCACAACAATTAAATTATACTCAAAACTCGATTACATTTTTGGCGACAATAATGTGTTATTCGACAATTTCTCATGAGATAAATTAGTTTATCTATAGATATTTATCTATAGATTTTCAATCTGTATTGTTCGTGCAGATAATGTATAATAAAAGTTATCTGGTTTATGTTTTATATTGATACGCAGTATAATGAAATAATTGAGGATAACTTCGACCAAGCGCACTTCGAGTGTCTTAATTAATTATTTTAAGATCACATACAGTAAAGTTATATTTAAAAAATATGTATTTCTAATTCTACAATATTAATAATTCTACGTATGTTATCCTAGATAGTAAATAAATATATATTGCTATCAGAATTACAGCAACTGAATTCGTTTTTGTTTGGCAGGTTCATATTTTTACAATACAACAACTTTAGGTAACAACTTGCCAGTAATTTGCCGATAATTTAAAATCTTTCATCAAAAATTAGTGCTGTTGCCGTCTTGTTACCATAATAATCTGTAAGGTCACTATAATGTTATCATATTATCGACAAAGCGAGGTTTGACAAAGCTACTATCTTGTTGTCACTATTACTAATATGTTGTTGCCTGTGTATTGCTACAATGTCGACATATGTATTCAAAATCTTTGGAAACAAATCAATATATGGTAAGTTGCCAGCATCATAAATTATCATAGATTTGCAAGGTTTTATTGAAACACATTTGCGATTGTCTGGGATAATATCCTAAAATATAAATATTCTGACCAAGCTGCTTAAAATTATATATATAATAAATATGTACAATACTTTTAAATATATGTATTATAATTCAGTGTCCTCTTTATTTTTTTTTAAACACATTGAAAAATAAAACATTAACGACTTCAAATTTACAAAGTAGTTAATAGGCTATTACTTGATAAGTTAATCAACAATTAAGTTAAAACTTGGTTGAAATCGCTATAAAGCTACATGCTGAAAAATTATGTACTTACTGTTAGTAGATCCATATAAGCTTCAACAACACAGGCTCTGCGATACAACAATATGGCGCACATATGTTTACAATGTTGCCAGGTGGTTCTATCTGCCCAATTATTTTCGTCCTTGAAAATACTCAACGCTACGCTTGGAGAAATATCTGAAATGTATAAGACACAACTATTACTGTAATGTTTACACTAGCATTCCATACGTACGTAATATCGTCGTAAGGTTACACCACGAATTTTGTTCACCACGCAATTGGTTTGTATTTTTTTTTTTTTTTTTGCAACTGATACAAATAATCGAAGTTCACAGGAGTTGCATAATTTTGCCAGATCGAAATGGAACTTCTCGATACGTTATCGGCATTACGGGGATCTACGCCGCAAAGTTTGCCATCTCGACACGTGTATATATATAGGTACTACATGCAGTTGTATAAACAACAGGCGTAAAAGAGGACATTTTCTGTTTTCCTACACGGAATTAACAAAGGGAAACATGATATATTACATTCGTATTGAATCGTTGTCTCGTCGAGCTGAGACCATTGCGTCGCCGGCAAAGAAAACCGGGCCTGTTGCGCCGGCATCGGACCGAAGCACGCATGAGCGGCCCGCGGGAACCGGGTCACTATATATAAACCCGGGTCGGCGAACGCCGCGCGCTCAGTACAAGCTCAGTATCGAATCGATCCTCCCGGTCGAGCTATTCCACGAGTGTGTCATACTCTGCGCAATTTGCGTCGCGCCCGCGACTTTCTTTCCGCAAGCGTCCCCGAGTACATTGAATCTCGTGAACTATGTCCGAGGCATACGTCGACGAGTACGAGCACTTCAACTACGACTACGACAAGCACATCTTCACTTCGCACGGCGGTAAGCAGAGGAGTAAACGCGAGGCTGTCGCGCACACGAATCACTTCGACCCGAGCGGCCATTCCAGGAAGATTCTCACCAAGCTGATGAACACCGAGCATAACAAACGGCAGACGAGCAAGAGCAAGGCGTAAAGGTTAGAAAATCGGCAAATGCTCGCGTTCCATCGTCAACGCGATTCGATGTAATAGGATATAATTCTGTATGATCAATCGCTTTTGTTCTCTCGTGTTAATGACGTCATTTACCTTTATCCTTCATCTCGCAGCAAGATTCGAGCACGTTACTTCGCGTCGGTGAATCATGAAAATCTTTCACTCCGCGAAGGCTGTCTAATATAATATTATGAAGTTAGCTGAATGTCTTCGTCAGTTATCTTGAAATTGGATGATTGTAAACGTGTGGGACAGCCTTCTCTCTCTCTCTCTCTCAAGACGACACAACAATTATAAATAATTTATAATTTTGATAAATTAAAACTCGTAAACATTGACTTGTGATTCTCAATCGTTCTTCAGTATTTTAGGCTAATTCTGCTGTTTGTCTCTTGCCTTCTTGATCAAAAAGCCAAGAGAGAAACAGAGATAACAGCAAGAAACAGGAAACAAAAAACATAGAATTAGCCTCCTCAATTGTTACATTTCACTGTATGCTTGGAAAGATGGATAATAATGAAAAAATCAAAGCAACATAGCATATTCACTCAATTATTCATCTTATTTTGTTACTTGTTAAATTTCCGTTAATATTTTAATAATTTGTTAACATTGAGGATGACCCGTTCGACGTTGAAACGTTTGTTGTTTTTAATCTAAATATATCTCTTCTTTGTTTTCTCTTGTAATATTTTTATTTCGGCTCGTTGCCCGTTAAATTATTTTAATATTTATTTATTATTGTCGAGCCTTCTCTTAATGTTATTATCTTATTTTGATTGACGTTCGATCGTTCAGCATCCAAATCCGCTTCGCTAGTCAAATCTGACACCACGGAATTCTCGGATATTTCCATTACGAATTATCGCGAAATGCAAGTGTACACCGCGTAGTCCGCGTATTGCGTCTTATTTCGCTGTCGGCGCCGACTATCTTTGTGCGCGTGACTCACACAACACAACGTCACACCCGCGTGTTTATTTATCTTTCTCTCGATTGCGTAACGCGCAGTACGAGTATATTCCTATTTAACGATATTCTGTGGCATTATTCTTCGAAAATGTCCAAACGATGTTCGTCTCCTCATTCTCAATGATCCAACTTTTCGTTTCAGATTACGGACGTTCCTATTTTTGCGGCCGGCGTCGTCAAGGATCTCATCTCACAGGATTTATCTCCCACCTAAGGCGACCGGAATAAAAAACATATATATATATATATACTTTTTTTTTACTATCGAGAATGCATTTAGTAGTAGTAGAAGATTCTTACTCAATGTAAGATCAGCACGATAGTTCGTACCTCATCATTTATGTCAAAAACATGCGGATACAATTACGTTATTTATGAGAATACAAAATAACGTATGTCGCACTTCGTCGTTTTGCGTAAATCTGAAATTCGCATGACATTCTTTTTTTTTCTTAACTAAGATAATATGGTGATACTAATTAATTTTTGCGTGTGCTATTAAATTCGTCGATTGAATTTCTGTTGTACGATTATGAAAAATAAAATTTATGATCTAATAATAACGATAAGTGAATCGTTAATTGGAATCTTTTGTTATATGTGAACAGTTATGATACAACATCTATTTTGTTATATATGCGTGCGTTCTATTTGCATACATTGTAACGATAAATAATCATTAAAAGGAATAGAGAAAAACTTCGCTATTCGTTCCTTATTATAACGAGCAATACATGTATTACACTATATTCCAAAAAAATATGTAAAGAAGGTTAAATGATCGAAATACAATGTGATATTCAATTAATACGGATTGCTCACATATTGTGATCGATGATGTATATTATTATTATTGATTCAGAATTGTCGTGATATATTCCTCAAGTTCTTTGTATGAGAAAATAATTAGTAGAGAGTCTATATCTAGTATTGACATAAACATCATGGTATGATTACATCAAAAGAACTGTGAAATAAAGATAATTTCTAATTAATGAGCGTGTACTTTTGTAAATGTGCACTCTGATATCTACATATATATTCTTTCTTATCTTTTATCCTTTATGCTTCACTACCTCGGTTTGATCCTATTCGTAGTCTATATGTAGGTATATCTGTTTATTATTGAGATATACGTATCGAATTCAAGCACAGTTTCGTTTTTATAATCATTTACATAGTGATAATATCTTTTATTATTTATTGCGGTAAATAAGAGATTGACTCTTTACGGTTCTTAAATTTATTTGTTATTATTAGAACTACTAGCTAGATATAAACTTTTTCATTGTACTTTCTAATTTCTTGGCACTAATATTGCCACTACTAAAAAAAATTGAAAAATTTACTCTCTTCAATAAAAGTTGCAGATTTTCACTTTCTTTTTATTTTGGAGTGAGATTCATAAAAAAAAATCTCATTTTTTTTCTGAAGTCAATTTCGTCCTAAATCCTATAAAATCAATAGTGTAAAATTTGCATTCTTTCAGCATTTTATGGCAATATTTTACTCCTTTCTTTGGGGTAAAATTTCACTCTAAGAAATTTAGAGAGTAAAACCCGATTTATGCTTAAGCATAAACTCAGCCTAAACTTATGATAATTATTCTTAAATGCAGTATGTGTATATTAATGAGGTATAAGTAATATATTATTTTTAAATAATTAAAAACAAAGCATATATAATACACCAAAGAAATTCAAGGCTAATGAAAATCAAGGGTTGCGCAAATTATTAAATTGGAATAATTAAAACTTTGTTCGGTTTGATGTACAATATCTTCTTTATTCAGAAATTTTGAACGTTTCAACTATCCTTGGAGTTTTATCAGTCGTACATTCTTAATCGAAATTATTTTAACAATCGGTCAATATTAAATCAGCCACAAAACTAAAATGGATTCTAAATCGTCTAAACATTGTACGATTCGATGTATTGAACGTGTCTAATGAATAATTTAAAATTATCGAAGGTCGAGTGATTATACCTCAATTCGACCTTTGACTATTTTAAATTACTCATTAGACATGCTTGATACATCAGATCATACAGACGCGATATTTAGACTGTTTACTAAAATTAAGCTGTGTTATCGAATTTTAGTACTTTGTGAATTTTATCATCATTCTAAAGCTTTATAACAGTTTATGGTCTGATAAAGTGAATTATTGTTCGTTATTGTGTATTCAAATGGTTTTTAAGTTGATCACAATTAATGTTTTAAATCGGAATACAGTTTGGCAACTTGCAAGTGACTTAATTTGTGACTGACTGTTGAACAAATTTCGATTAAGGATGTACGATTGATCTGCTGAAAACTCCAAAGTGAAACGTTTACTATTTCTGAATACAGAAGACATCATACATCAAACGAGAAGTAAAGTTCATTCTAATTTAATAATTTGCGCAACCTCTTCCCCGCTGATTTTCATTAACTTATTTAAATTTCTTTAATGTATTTTGAAGATTGAAAAATCTCAAATATCACATATTTCTTATATATATTTTAAACTCTATTTTATGAAAAGAATTTCAGATATTCATTGCCATTAATTTCGATTTATAGATTTGTTAAAAATAAATTCAAATCATTTTAAATATATATTTTCTACTCAATGTTCAATATTTTATGACTGTCTTTGAAGTCTTTTAATGTGTAAAATGTTCTAGACATCTTCTATGACAACTACTGTTAATAATAATAGACATTTAAGATTGATTTGAGATAAAAATTGTAATATCAAAATTAATATGGAAAATAAATTTAAATCGTTATAAATATCTTCTCGGCTCAATATTAATTGAGAAATTAATAAGTCCGTATGTACACTGATCACTCAACAGTTTTGTCACGACAAAGGACCCCGCACAAAACTTATGGAAAATGGTTTTCGGTCAAATTGGCTGAAATTTTACTATGTTATAGTTTTCACCATGCTGATAAAAAATTATCACCAAGTCCCAAAAGTCAATATTTCCCAAGATATAAAGGGTCAAAGTAGTGAAATATGGTCATCCGCAGTAGTAAGACGTATATTATAAGTATCTGGAGACACGGTAGTGTCTCGGCGCTAAGCCAAGCGCGCGACACTGCCTAAGTGATACATTGATATTTATTCACAAAATAAATAAAAATCGATTTTTACATGTATATATATATGTATATAATACAGGGTGTCCCAGACTAACCGGAAAATCGTGACTCAGACAGCGGCGCGCTTGCGCGATTGGTAATTTTTACCAATTATTATCTCGTTAACTATTGCGAAAATTGCAAAACGGTAGAGGACTTTTCGACTCAGTTCAGTCCGCTCTATCTGTTCATGTAATATTTTCCGGTTAGTCTGGGATACCACAGGGTGTCATTAACCGATTAAATCACCTATCTAGAGCAGGTAAAGTAGATCGAATTAAGTCGAAAAGTCTTATACCATTTTGCAGTTTACGCAATATTTAACGAGATATTAGACCTTAAATATAACCGAATAAACTCGTTCGTCTGACCTACTACTACCGAATATCCGCCATCGTTAGCTGTTCATGTAATATTTTCCGGTTAGTCTGGGACACCCTGTATATATACATGTAAAAATCGATTTTTATTTATTTTGTGAATAAATATCAATGTATCTTATACTTATAATATACGTCTTACTACTGCGGATGACCATATTTCACTACTTTGACCCTTTATATCATGGGAAAATATTCACTTTTGGGACTTGGTGCAATGATAACCTTTAATCAGCATGGTAAAAACTATAACATAGTAAAATTTCAGCCAATTTGACCGAAAACCATTTTCCATAAGTTTTGTGCGTGATCCTTTATAATACTTCGTACATACGAAAATTCTGTTCTAAAAGACAATATATATGAGATAAAACTGTAATGCGCAACAACAAATCATATAAGATTTATCTTATCTCGTTTGGTTAACAATTAGGTTTGCATGTATGAAAAGTCATACATTGGCAATCAAGTAAAATTTCGTTTTTTATTTAAAAAAATATATATATATCAGAAATATTTTTACTATTAAGTCCTTAAACATATCTTCATTTTGAAATTAAAAAAAATTTGTTTCTATTTTCACGCACATAAGTTAGATGTTACTCGTTAGATAGATTACAATTTTAAAAATGACCAATTTCTATAATAAATTATTTCTGTCACTAATTGAATTTCTAAATTACAACTGTTAAATAGTCTGGTTAAAATAAGCAATACAATACATGAGATGATAATATACGTACAAGTATATGATATATACATGTTATCTACAGACTTGAGATAAATATGTCCAGCTTTAAAAAAAAAGTTTATCAGCGTCTGCATGTGCAAAAAAATCTTTGTAGATATAACAAATAACTTGTCTCTAAAAAATTCAGTAGACAGCGATTTGACCAAAGAGAAACTAGAAACCATGCTGCTGAAGCTACTGATCGCCGTGCTTTGCTTCGGTTTCGCCGTTCACGCAAATACAAATGTAACTGCTCCAAGGGTCAAAACACCTTTGGGAGGACTGAAAGGTTACTACAAGGTCTCACAAAATGGTAGAAAATACGAGGCATACGAAGGGATCCCTTATGCATTACCACCTATTGGGAAACTACGATTTAAGGTACAAATTGAATTAATTATTGATATAATAATATCTCTCTTTGAAGCTACATTTCTTAAAATTCAATTCTTACGAAAAAAAAAAAAGATTTTTACAACAGATGCCGGTAATTTTTACACATAAATAAAATTTTGTACTATAAAAATATCTAGTAAAAAATGTTTTAAGAGTTTTAATTTCTCCATTTTTTCCTTATGTAGCCTCCTCGGCCAATACCGGCATGGACTGGTGAATTATCGGCTACAAAATTCGGTTCTGAGTGTATTCAATATGATCATGTACATTTTTCGGAGAAGGTTGTGGGTGCCGAAGATTGTTTGTATTTAAACGTTTACGTGCCAATACAGGAGAAAAGTAAAATCCCAATGCCAGTATTATTTTGGATCCATGGCGGGGCATTCCAATTTGGTAGCGGCATGTTTTATAGCGCCAAATATCTAATGGACTCCGATGTTATACTTGTCACTATTAATTATCGGCTGGGACCAATGGGTATGTGATATATTTGCGCTAACATACTTACACAGATTAGTAGCATATTATTCAAAATAATATTTCCATTCAAAGTTTATCTAGTCAAATTAAATATTTTATAATCTTTGACCCAGCTAATTTTAAAATTGAAAGTTTTCATGTGAAAGTCTTATTTTACGTACGTCTCACTCTCTCTGCTCTTGATTTCTTAAAAATAATTTGAAAAAATATTAGGTTTCCTGAGCACGGAAGACGAAGTAGTTCCTGGCAACATGGGTCTAAAAGATCAAAGTATGGCACTTCGTTGGGTATCAGAGAATATCGAATGGTTCGGTGGCGACCCGAAGAAAGTGACTTTGGTTGGATTGAGTGCTGGTGGTGCAAGTGTGCATTATCATTATTTATCGCAAATGAGCGCTGGACTTTTCCGAGGTATTTTTATGAGCTAACGTATAAATTAATACAAAGATTCAATCGTTTCGTCTATATTACATTTTATAAATTGCTATATCATATAATTTTATATGGTCTTATATGTATAGGTGGTATATCATTCAGCGGTACAGCGTTTAATTGTTGGACACAAGCTGAGAACTCTTCAGAGAAAGCCAAGAAATTAAGTGCTTTGATGGGATGTCCTACAACTACCTCTAGAGAGATGATACGTTGCTTGAGATATCGTCCAGCTCGCGCGATGGTTCAAGCTACAAGTGAATTTATGGTAATCGAGACTCATTCTTTTCTTTCATTGTCTTGAAACAAGAGTACAATCCTCGGATATGAAAAGAAGAAACCTTTGATTGATTCTATGGTTTTAGACGTTCTTTTATAATCCCTTTACTCCTTATGGTCCAGTAGTTGAGAAATTTGGTGACGAAGCACCCTTTATTGACAAAACACCTGTTGAAATCATTAATAGTGGCAATGTTCAAGATATACCCTGGGTTACGGGAGTAACAAGCGAAGAAGGTCTCTATCCCGTAGCTGGTAAGAGATGAATAATAAAAAATATAAAACAAGAACACAAAATAATAAAACAACACTCCTCCCTAAATGATACGCAGTTATTTTTAAATATTAATTTATCGTAGAGTTCATATCTGATGATGAAAGTCTGAAACAGTTAAATGATAATTGGGATATTCTTGCACCGAATTTTCTTGATTTTAACTACACCATTCCCAAAGAGAAGCATGCCGAGGTTGCTCGTCTTATTAAAAAACATTACTTTGGTACAAAATCAATAGACCGACAAAGTGTGAAAGAACTGATACAAATGGCGAGTGATCGCTTATTTGTAGTTGATGGCGAAAAGGCTGCGCGAATGCAAGCTAAAGTAAATCAGAATCCAGTTTGGTTCCATTATTTTTGTTACAGAGGAGAACAAAGTTTAAGTGATTCTTTTACCGGTACAACAGTGAATTATGGTAAGCCTATAAAATATCAATATTCGAGAACAAATAATTAACAACTATATAGACAACTTGTAAAGAGCTTTATAACTTAAAATTTATATATTTATCTCTCTCATTAGGAGTCTCTCACGGCGATGATATATTCTATGTATTAGATACTAAATGGGTTAATCCAACAACAACACAAAAGGACCGTGATATGCAGAAACGTTTAATCGACTTTTGGGTATTGTTCGCTACAGAGGGGTAAACACAAATATACATATATTACATATATATTGTATATATATACATAATATTAAACATGAAACTTACACAATGCGAAAATACTAATTCTCCGAATTTTTCAGAATTCCGAAAGTAGCCAATGTGGAATGGTCAAAATTAGATTCTTCAAAGAAAGAACTTCATTACTTGCATATAGCAAGTCCTGATAAAATTAACATGGATAGCAATGCTAATCTTGGAGAAAAAGAATTCTGGAATTCGATTGATTTCAATGAGAACGTATTAAAATACACAGCTAGAATCGATAAAGATGAGCTTTAAGAAGTATTGCAATAAAGCCCGTATTTATAGTCGTGTTTCTGCTGAGAAACTCAATTGAAATTAATTTTGAATCGTGGAACAGTTCAATAGACGAATCTTGAGAGTTAATTTACTTCACATTTGTAATTATGACTCAAGTAATTAAGACATATGTCATATAACTTAATTTCGGAAAGGTTATTTTCAAACAGGTAAAAAACATAGTTTTAATCGATATCTTGTATTTCAAAATAAGTTTCACATGAGTAATCATTCCACGTCTCAAATGAATATTTCAATTGATTTCTAATCAAGACTATTGAATCATTCGTGTTTCAAGATTCTATTCTGAGTATCTCACCTGATACGCTCTTGAGATGAGATTTGAGAAACGACTATAAATATGGACCTAAAAGACACATACACAAACGTGTGCATCTTATTGTCTAAAGTGAATTTGTGAACATTTGTTTTCATTTTTAACATTAATTAGTTTTATATAAATTTAGAAGAATATATTTTTCTTTATTGTCAACTTAAAAAAATGAACAATTATAATATTTTGTAAAAATAAAGTATTAAATTTTTTACATCTTACTCTATTTAATTTGATATTTATCTTCTATTGATATAGTAGATTAATTAAATTTCTTCTTCTTTGTTAGAAAATTTGTGTTTCTAGCAATATAGTAGTGACAGATCTTTCATGTTTCAATATAGAATTGTATTAAATTTCACATTATTAGAGTTTTTTACCTTAGACGAAGTATCGTTCTTAGAATTTATTTTAGTATCTCAAATTGTTTCCTATTTCTGCTTTTGTACTCCATTAATTCGTACTGCCTCTTATACTGTCTTTTTTATTCCAGTACTTCTCTTTATTTTTATGATTTTTTATTTTACTTAAATTTCAAATTCTATTTTAATAACAATATAAAATCTTTTATGTCACCATTTTTCTTTTGTGTTACAACTGTTTGTAGCTACAAACTGTACTAGTACAACTATTTACCGCGTCGAACGACTCTAGACTGAACTATAATCAGGACTGTGTGTATGGGCATGTATTTAAAATACTTAATTTTATATTTGAAAACGGTATTTGTAAGACAATTGTATCGTGTATTTTCTCTTTCAGTGTACATACATGGAAATATTTTGCATTTTATATTTTATGGAATCATATAAAAGTATTTTATATTTTGTATTTCAGTATTAATAATGAAAAATTGAAGGTATTTTAAATAATAAGATTGACGATTATTGTTATTATTTAAATTACGCGAAATACATAAAGTTTTCAACATTAATTTCAATTTTAAATACACACAAAATACGTAATACTTTCATGTACACTGCTAAAATATAAAATATAAACAAAAATTTAAAAATATAATATAACAGGCTCATATGAATAAATCAAAATATAAAATAAGAAATACCAATAAGAGCCGATACTAGATATTGGTATGTAAATTTATTCGTTTATAAAATATATAGTTTATACACTATATATTTTAATTTCGAACGAGTAGTAACATCTTACATATGAATTATACATTTTTCATTTTACTGAGCAGTCTAATGAAGCTTCACAATAATTGTATATATATAGTATTATTATTGACACTATCAATTCTTAACAGTCATTTAAATCAGCATTTATGTGAACAAGAATTGATGGATGAACGACATCTTCATAATATTATTAAATAATCGTTTAAAGTTTTAAAGGTTTAAATTTTTGATATATTATAGACGTATATATTCTAATAGTATATCTGTAAAGAATTAAACGTTCTTTACTACTTCCATTTTTAAAAAATTAAGTTATTTAAAACAAATGTTTTTATAAAAATTATGATTTTTATTTTAAATAAAATTTCAAAGCTTATTTTATGTTTCTTATACCAGTATTACCAGTCAACAGTCGGGAGTATTTAAAATAATTTTATTATTTAAAATATATATTTCAAATATGTATACTATATTAGGGATGTAACGAAAGTGGTTATAGCGAAAGCGAATACTGTTTACATCCCTAATTTTAACAACGATTATACCGGGGGTCGAAAGCAGAGCATTTTAGAAAGAAACGTTTCAGACAAAAGTTGTTTGACTCGAAGGGGAACAAAAGATGGTGCCATCGATTTGACCTTGAATAGTCCTCTGAAGGTTACGTGAAGGTCACCTTTAATTTTTTAAATGGAATTATGTAATTTTTTTAGATAGCGTGATTCCTCTAATTATTTTGCATATAAAAATATTAAGGTAGAGATACCAAAAAACCAATAGTTTTCGAGATATTTTATACTTTATTTTGGTACATTTTGACACAAAATGTTAAATAACTCGTAAACTGTTGACTTTTTGATTATCGTACCTTAATACTTTTGTGAACAGAATAATGAGATAAATCAAATGGTGTAATGAAAACACATAGTTACGTATTTAAAAAATTATCCATTTTGCATACATATTTTTTTTAAAGCAACTATGTGTTTTCTTTATACCATTTGATTAATTTTATTATTCTATTCATAAAAGTATTAAGGTATGATAATCAAAAAGTCAACAGTTCGCTGTAACCACTTTCGTTACATCCCTAATATATAATATATGTGTGGGTGTATAAATAGATTCGCGCATGTGTATAAATATGTATCTTTAACTATGAATATGTATATGCGTGCTCTTTTATTTAATTATATCTCTTTGTTGCTACGATAGTGACTATATTTGTTAACGCCTCATAATTTGCACATATATAATACTCTATTCTTTTTCTTCACTTCCTTATAGCAATGAGATTACAGATTTCAGAATATAAATACAACAGCAGTATAAAATATTTTTTTTGTTTATTCTTACAATAATAGATACATAATTTGTATAAGACTTTTACAGGACTACTTAGCAAAGCGGGTTTTTAGGACTTAATTTGCTTGCGATCAATTTATCTGTATTTTTACCATTTTCATTTGAGCTAACTTGTTTTTCTCGTACTATTTTTATCCATTATTATATCATCAACACGCATATCGTGACTTAATCATCATAAATTATACATGGCTCGTTTAACATTACCTCGCAGGATTAAGTATATTCTATTCTCAGTATATTATTCTAGTATGTTGAAGGAACTGTTTTAAATTCAAAAATTGTCAATGAAATAAAAGGCAATTAAGAGTCAATATTATATGTGTGATTTAATAAACCATTTAATATATTATAAATTAAAATAAAATAAAAATAAACTAAAATTCACACTATAAATGCGCACGCAATCAAAAGTCAAAACCATAACGTTTCGGCTGCATATTTGAGCTATCCTCAGATGTACATATAAATATTAATTAACGCAGTAAAACATCTTTAGTTAACGCAGAAAAAACAAGAATAAAACTATAATGGAGTGTTATGTTCTAAAACGTTGAGTATTTCCACAGAGAGAACAATTTAGCAGATTTAGCTCATCAAGCGATTGGAAGATCGTTTGTGATGTATCCCTGTGGTACCTCGAGTAATCCATGCCGTTAAAAGTTGAAAGTTAAAAGTTAAATCGTTTAAATTCTTTTCGCGATGGAGATCTATATAGATACTGCCGTATTATATATTATCAAAAGATTTCGAATTCTCAATCACCCAAAAATTTTCATATTTTTTAAAATAAAATACTTGAGAATATTTTAGGATTGCTTGTTGATAGCAGTTTCTATTGTTAATTTTTCAACGTATAGAAACCAGATATTTCTCAATGATTTAGATTATTTTATGCTTCTTCGAATGAAATAGTTTGCTTTTATTATTTTAGATTCAGAAATACATTTTTTCTTTTAAAGGAAATATTACTCTACTTTGAATCCTCTGATACTTTAAGTACTCTTTTTGTCTTTTTTTCTACTGTTAAAAACTATTGTTATTTAGTATAACATTTCATATCTATAATTTGTTAGAGTTGCTTATAATTAGTTCAGTTATTTTTTTGTTCGTATAAAGAGCAATGTGAATGTAAAAGAAAAAAATATTCTGATACTTCGAGTACTCCTTTTTGTCTTCTTTTCTACTGTTAAAAACAATTGAGCTCATTATTTAGTATAACATTTCGTATCTACAATTTGTTAGAGTTGCTTATAACTAGTTCAATTAGTTTTGTTATTGATGTTTGTATAAAGAGCAATGTGAATGTAAAAGAAAAAAATACTACATTAGTTCCTCTTGAAAATAATTGCAATATTTTTACTACAGTGTCATCTTAAATAAAATATTATAATAAAAAATTTAAATTGGCAAACACTATTGTAAGATTAGAATAAAATTACACAATTTATTATACGTGATGGCAAAAAGTTCGGCAACGGTCAAATATCTTGGAAAATAATGATTATGGAACAAAATGTTCAATACAAAAGTTTTAGTATATCAAGTGATCTATTATACGGATATATTGAAATGACTTTCATGTGACCTTGAAGGACACCGTGAAGGTCAATTTTGAAATCTTAAATGGAACCACCTATTTTCTATTACATATTCTTAAAGCTGGTGTCAAGACGTTTCCGAAACACTGGTTACAAACTCTTTTTGCTTCAGATATTCTTAAGTTATGAACCCTCAAAGTTTAAGTATCGCCGGCGCGTTATCTAAGGTGTACCGCGTGAAGGTGACACAATCGGATATCCACCTCTTAGATATTGTTATATCCGTTCGTTCATTGGCCGATTGAATTACCCTACAATTTTAATTTTGGCTGTGTGGCAACACTGACAGAGAGGCATCGAGCAAGTCACACACGCGGACTTCCCGCTTTTATATACTCATACGATTGTTCTTGTAATAGACAGCGATTGGATTTATAATAAATATATATCGTGATTGGAATAAGGAATCTGCGAGTCAGTTTATTTACTTACAATCCTCCTTCAAGTTACAACAGATATGCTTGATCAAAGTGAGTCCTTATGTGTGTGTGTGTGTGTGTGTGTGTGTGTGTGTTAGATGTAATTAAAAAATTAATTAATTAAATGTTCAAA